ATCAGAGTGCGGATATTTTTACAAAGCCTTTGAAGGCAGCTAAATTTTGTAAACTCAGAGAGTCTCTGGGAATTGTTCGGTTTTGACTTAAGGAGGCATGTTGAGTTTTAAGTCAAAATGCATGGGGCATGGTTACGTGCATGGGGCATGCATGGTTACGTGCATGGGTTTACTTTCGGTTTTTGTGTTTAGTTCACGTTCTCTGTTTACTCTGTTATTTCTATTATATATAAACATTACAGTTTTTGTACATCTATACAAGAAAGGTTCTATTATTCTCTGTCTGTAGCTCTCCCATTACACATTTAACTGTGTTGGCTGAAGATGAAGTTGAGGCAGAAGAAGGTGAGACGTGTGCAGAGGGTGATCTTGAGTTGGAGTGCCATGCTATGGGTTTGATGGGCATTGTTGGGCCTACCTCAAATGGGGTCAAGGTTATGAGGTTGCCTGGGCTTTTGATGGAGGTGCCCGTAGTCATTTTGGTGGATAGTGGAGCAAGTGAAAATTTTGTTGCTCCGCAGGTGATACATTCTTTGGGCTTAGACATTATGGAGGAGGCGATGATGTCATTTTGGGAGTTATGTTGCTTAAAACCTTGGGTAAAGTGGAAGTGGATTGGGGTGAAATGACCATGAAGTTTCGTTGGGGACAACAGCAAGTGGAGTTAAAGGGTGTGGGGCCATCAAATACAAAAAAGTTAATTTTTCCATCCCAAGAATCTTTTTATAATGTTCTTCGTACGACTAAAACCATAATTGATGGTCTAAGATGGGATTATTCTAGTGTTTTGAATAATATGGAAGAGGGAGAATTGTTGGATTGACAGATACAAGAGTTGAATGAAGTCCTACAATAGTATCATGGGGTGTTTTGTATACTACAAGGGTTGCCGCCGAGACGCTTTGTGGAACATGCTATTAACTTGAAAGAAGGTTCAGTGTCGGTTAGTGTTCGGCCTTACAAATACCCGCACCACCATAAGAATGAAATTGAAAAGACAGGTACAGGAATTGCTGAAGCAGGGGGTAATTCGTCATAGTTCCAGCTCCTATTCAAGTCCCGTGATTCTTGTTAAAAAAAAAAGACATTCTTGGCGAATGTGTGTGAATTACAGGACTCTAAATGCTCTCACAGTTCCAAATAAATATCCTATTTAGGTATTAGAAGAATTACTTGATGAATTGCATTGATCCACTTTCTTTTCCAAATTAGATTTGAAATCCGGTTACCATCAAATTCGGATGCGTAAAGTTGATATTTGCAAAACTGCTGGGCATATTTGGTTATGTCTTTTGGTCTTATGAATGCAACTCTACTTTTCAGTCCACAATAAATGCGGTTTATGAATGCGATGTTTAAACCGTATCTTTGAAAGTTTGTATTAGTATTTTTTGATGATATCCTTGTTTTTAGTAAGGATTGGGATTCTCATATTACACATTTGCATTCTGTTTTGAAAGTACTGGAAAGTAATCAATTTGTGGCAAATAAAGACAAATGTTCTTTTGGTAGACGTCAAGTGCAGTATCTTGGACATGTTATTTGTGCAGCAGGTGTTCAAGTGGATAGACGCAAGGTGCAAAGTATGTTGGACTGGCCTCAACCAAAGAATATTAAAGGTGTTCGAGGTTTTCTTGGTTTAACGGGCTATTGTAGGCGTTTTATTCAAAATTATGGTAAGATTGCTCAGCCTTGACGGATCTCACTAAGAAGGATGGATTTGTTTGGAATTCATTAGCTAACAAAGCCTTTGAGACTTTAAAATCAGCTCTTGTTTCTGCTCCAGTTCTTGTTTTGCCCAACTTGAGGAGCCTTTTCAGCTTGAATGTGACGCATCTGGCACTGGTTTAGGAGCTGTATTAATGCAACAAGGCAAACCTATTGCGTATTATAGCAGGCTTTGTCTTCTAGTCAATTATCAAAATCAGTTTATGAGAAGGAATTAATGACTATTGTTTTAGCTATCCAACATTGGCGCCATTACTTATTGGGTAGGAAGTTTATTGTTTTTACTGATCAACGAAGTTTGAATCATATTCTTCGGCAACGTGTTGCTTCTGCATATCAACAGTGTTGGGTTTCGAAGCTCCTTGGGTATCATTTTGAGGTTTTGTACAAACCAGGGCCTTCTAATAAAGTTGCGGATGCCTTGTTCCGTCGTGTCGCTAAGAACCTCCCATTGGCAGCTTTGGTTTCTTTTCCACAGTGGGATCAATTTGAGATTATTCAACGGGAGATCAAGCAGGATCACTTTTTGCAACAGGTGCTTCATGATTTAGAAAAAGATTCTAATTCTCGGCCTGGTTATATTTTGCGCGGTGGTACCTTATATTACCACAACCGTTTGGTTATATTAGCCTCTTCATCTTTAATTCCTGATCTGCTTTATGAGTATCATTCTTCATTCGTAGGGGGTCACTCTAGTTTGCTTCGCACTAATAGGCGTTTGGCTGGGAATATATATTGGGTGGGAATGAAAAAGAGAGTAAAGGAGTATGTGCGCAATTGTGATATTTGTCAACGCACAAAGTATGAAGCTTCTTCTCCCGCAGGGTTGCTACAACCACTATCCATTCCATCTCAAGTGTGGGATGAGATTTCTTTAGATTTTATTGTCGGTTTGCCAAAATCTAATGGGTACGATGCTTTGTTAGTAGTGGTTGATAGACTTACGAAATATGCTCATTTTGCCCTATTGAAACATCCTTATTCTGCAAGGAAAATTGCAGAAGTTTTTGCTAAGGAGATTGTGCGTCTTCATGGCATGCCATCTTCTATATTAAGTGATCGTGATCCCATCTTTGTTAGTCATTTTTGGCAAGAATTATTTTCTATGCAAGGGACAAAGCTTCGACTTAGCACAACTTACCATCCCAATGAGATGGTCAAACTGAGGTGGTGAATCGTAGTCTTGAACAATACTTGAGATGTTCTGCTGCAGATCATCCTTGCAATTGGTCTCTTTGGGTTCCTTGGGCGGAATTATGGTATAATACATCTTATCATGAGTCTTTAGGTACTACTCCTTTTGAGGCTCTTTACAGTGAGTCCTCCTTCGATTTTACGGTTGGTGGAGGGGGAAATTCGTGTGGAAGCAGTGGTTCGTGAGTTGAAGGACCGCGATGAAGCTTTACAACAACTTAGACATCATTTGATTCGTGCTCAAGAGAACATGAAGTGTTTTGCTGATAAGCACAGATGTGCAGTGGAGTTTCAGGTGGGTGATTGAGTTTTCCTTCGTTTACGCCCTCACAAACAACATTCAATTGCTTCTCGGATTCATCAAAAACTTGCCCCTCGTTTTTTTGGACCGTATCAGATTTCTGCTCGTGTGGGTGTTGTTGCTTATACTCTCAGTTTGCCTCCTTCTTCAAAAATCCATCCAACTTTCCATGTTTCTCAATTGAAACGTGCTTTTGGTCAGTACCAATCTTCTTCAGAGTTGCCTGCTGATTTGGACACTGAGGAGTTAGCAGTTCCAACCCATGTTTTGTCTACTCGTTTGGTTACAGCAGAGGGAAAAACAGTCAAACAGTACTTAATCCATTGGAAAGGTCTACCAGTTTCAGAGGCTACTTGGGAAGATGAATTTGTGCTCATTAATCAATTTCCCACTTTCTGCCTTGAGGACAAGGCTTCATCTTCAGGGGGTGGTACTGTTAGACACATGGAAGGAGAACAGGTCATAGATGTAAATAAAAGTCCTAAGACGTGGCAAGTGTATGTGAGAAGAAAGAAGAATTAGTTTTGTGGTTAGTTAGTAGTCGCGTGCATGAGTGAGTAACAGAATTGTACTTATATAAGTACGTGAGACACTGTTAGAGAAAGGGGATTTTTTTGGCAGATTGCATTTGGAGAGAAAAGGTTTCTTTCTCTGTTATCGGAGTATAAACTCTGGGGAATTATTGAAGTTTTATCCTCTTTCAATAAAACTTCTTCATTCTTTCTCTACTGTCTATCTATATTTTTGAATTTTCTATTCGTAGATCTTTCTGTCCCTAACACATTGTGCTCAAGAGCCACATTTAGGTTCAGAACGTTTAGAAAAAGAAGACCTAGTATGTTTCCCTAGTTGACATGATTCACATTCAAAATCTTGAAGAGTCTGAAATCTTTGAGAGGACCTCGAATTGAATTTCTTTATTCCAAGTTTGGCACATACAATTTGTATGCTCCAGCTTGAGGGGGAGTGTTAGAATTATTATTAGATAGTGGTTAGTAGTTGGTGTTTGGTAGTTGTTTTTTGAAATGCTGTAATCCTATATATATATGAGATCATAGAATGGAGTGATACATCCCACTGAATTATAAATCTTCTTTTAACTCTCTTCATTCTCTTAACTTGGTATCAGAGTCGTCAAAGCCTAACATTTTTCCAATTATTGTCTTGGGCCAAGAGTTATCCTTTCGTTGTGGGTCAAAAAGTATCATTTGTCTGGTTCGGCAGGCTTCGTTGAAGGGGACATGTTGAAAGTCCCACATCGTCTGCCTCATGTTATTTGGTTTTGTTTAAATATATGTTAGGTTACTCCACATATTGCTAATTGGTTTTATGTTGGAACCTTAACATACACAAGCACCATGAAGATAATTTGTTTTTCTTTTTTTTTTTAATCTTAATAAAATGGGTTTCCAATTTAATAAAATTAGGTACCAAGTCCAAACATCATTTTTCTTTTCTTCTTTGTCACCTCTCTCTCACTGTTATTCTGGTCACAACAAGCCAATAAAATTTTACCATTTTACCACATTTCTTATAGGATGTCCGTAAAATTATTTTACAGAAAGTGTATATAAAATCAACTTTGTTTACCCATAAATTTGATAGAAACATAATGTATAAAGCAACTTGAAGATGGAGATCAATATTAAACAAATTAAAACATCTGTTTGTTACCAAGCATAGATCGAAATGACCAAGGCCTTTGGAAACCAACCTCTTTTAGCCATGAATATATTTGCCAACACCATGCCAGTGCATGAGCAACTGCAACAAAACATCAACCAAAAGAACCATAGCATTTTGTGGATCCACATAAGCATTTTTTTCTCCCTTGGGGTGCACTGCTATCATCAGCATGACCAGAACATCCATAATCATATGTTAACTCTGTCATTGGAGGAATGTGTCTGAGGGCAAAAAATGCAATGTGAAGAAAGTATTGATTATTTTCAGCATACAAGACTGGCTGCCAGAAAACATTAGGAGAGCAACTATGATTCATGTATCTAGCCACATTTCCATAGTTCTTAGAACTGATAATTAGAGGTGACGGTATAGTATAATCCTCACTAGAGACATTTGAGCTTATTTCTTCCAATAAGCTAGGATCATAATTCCATTTGAATGGGTTGTAAATACGACTTGTATCAAAAACATACTCATCATCATATCCCCCATTATTTACCTTGGCTCTGTCAATAAATTCTCCTGCATAGTCACAAATAAAAGTACCAGCACGTATAGGATCAAGTGATCGAAGTCCCCACCCTCTATCTTTGGTTTTGAAAACTTCCATTTGATGCTTCAAACCTGTCTGCGTTACTCGGTTCTTGCAGTTAGGAAAGCACTTACACATTGGGCCACACTCATGAACCAATGGTCTCCGACTCACTAGAACACCATTTGCAATATATGGAAAGTCACCTTCATTTCTTTGAATGCAAGAGCAGCTCAAATCACCAGGGACACATGTTTTGTTACAGTTGCAGCCATATGAAGATTGCACTAAACTGAATGGTTTTGGATCTATGATAGATTTGGTATAGGTGAAAAAACAAGGCCCCTTCTCACTATCAACATCATTGACAAGTGATACAGGAATACTCTCAACTCCTGTGGAGAGGTCTCCAAGAATAAGGCCAGGCCTTGAAGATGAGCCTGTCTTCCATTTTTGAACTGATTTCCAAACAGCAAAAGCACTAGGTTGCCCCGGCAATCTAACAAACTTGTACTTGAATACACCACCACCAGACTTTCCTTTCTCTATCCAAGAATCTTCAATTTTATACAGACCATCATAGACATAGATTTTTACATTTTTATTCCCAGCATCTTTCAAGCCCCGGATGACTCTTACTTCATTATGGCGATGTGAACTTCTATCTAAAGCAAGATTACCCCTTTGAAGCTTCTGATCAATCACGTGTTTATCTTTCTTGTTGAAGTTCTCACCCTGTCCACTATAAATTAAAACATCATCATCCTCTGCATCATTATCATATACTCCTGACGAAACAATGCTTAAAGCCACAGGTTCCTCCTGAAACTCATCCTTTATGTTCATATAGTCAATTCCACTCATTGACTGGCCATGTAAACCCACAAGACACATTTCCATCCTCAAAAAGAATATATCCCCAATCTCAATCCCAGGCACTGCTCCTACTCTCTTTTTCATGTTTGTTCGAAAAGCTTTGCCTGTCATCACAGTGCTTGCTCTTAAATCTGCTCGCTTGATTACCATAGTTGTGTTCAACTCCTTGGAATCTTCAAGTTGGCACAGCCTTCTCCGAAGAGAATCAAAAGTCATGAGCACAAGAGTAACCACTTTGCGATCACCATCATCTCTTTGGGCCACACTAATACCACCAATCAAAGAACTTGAACCAAACTCTGGAATTTTCCTACTCTTCTTTTGGGATGATTTGCAACTGTTCATAGGCTGCACAATACGCCTTTGGTTATCGTCGACACTCTTACCATTGAGACCATCCATGGGTGAAGATGGGTCTCCATTGACTCCATGAGGTATTTCTTCTTCATCTAGTGGTTTCCTAAAGGACCTTATTGGAGCTGGTATGGGAGCAGGTGAGGGCTGAGACTCTTCAGGTTCCTCAAACAAAACAAATGGAGAAAACCTAGAAGGGTACCGTCTAGAGAGAGAAGATTGAAGAGATTTTGGTAACATAGGTGCCAAACTACGCAGGGGTTTAACCTCTACAATCCTAGTTTTATCAACCAAACCAGAACCATGAACCGAGTCCTGGCACAACCCTTCTTCCATTAGACACCTTTAACAAAAACAACACAGAATCAAGCTACAAAAGCTGAAGTGTTTTTTTTTTTTTTCTTCTTTCTCCTATTTAACTTCAAATATGAAACATACCAATTCTTACTATCTCTTTTACTAAATTAACTATTCACCAACAAATAAAATCTCACCTCTTGGTACAAAAGGGTTATGAAACCCTGAAGCTGAAAATGTTGTTTAGGAAAATGGTTAGCTAAAAAAACCCAAAAAGGGAAAGGGGTCAAAAAGAAACTTTGAGGAGAAATTATAGATCCACAATGAGTAAGAAACTGAATTGGGATTTACCAATGTCATGCAAATATTTCGACCATGCAAGCTTTAGGAAAGAAGCTGAGAGTGGCGATGACACTATAAAGAAAATGAGTTGTTTTGACATGCGTGCAGTTTTGGGATTTAGAAGAATGGGTAAGAAATAAACCCCACATGAAAATGGGTAGATTTATTTGATTTCGAGTTTTGTAATGATCATCTTGTACTTACATGTGCATACATGAACAAGAAAAATTTTATTCTCAACAAATGATTGTGATAGATTTCAAGTTAAATAAGATTTTTCGTTCATTTATTTCTCAATTATGTCGCACTTTAAGTTATTTCAGTAATTTTTTTAATTGTTTTAATTAAGATTTATATTGTCCAATTGCTTTTATTTAAATATTATAAATCTTTGTCTAATATAATTTAATACTTCTTTTTTATTTTTGAAAGTGTATTATAATGTTTACTTAGCCTGTCAAAATATGAAAATATAAAAGTAATACCTTAATTTAATTTAAGATTAATTTTGTTAATCCTTTAAATAAATTATTTTAATTATCGGTATTAGTTTGATGAGGTAGATATTAGTTTTGTGACTTAACACGTTAAGTGGTTTTAATTTTGTTATTTTTATTTTACTAGAATATCATATTATTTAAAATTAAATGAAATTTAAATTTAGAGTTCTTAAAATATATATATATATATAAAACAAAGTAAAAAATAATTTGTTTAAAGGACTAACAAAGTGATGAATCCTATATTAAAATACTAATTTTATATTTCATTGAACTAAACTATAATTTTTTATACACTTTTAAAAATTAAAAATAATATTTAACTTAATTTTTATTTAAGTATTTATGATGTAACAACCATACTACTGTCACATAAAAAAATGGTAATTTACTCTCACTTAACATCAATAAATTAATATTTTTAGTGAACCTCATTCATCATAAAAATTATCTTTAATAACATATGTTAAGTAGGGTCTAATCTTATTTTTTTTTAGAGCAAATAAACATAAATTATTATCCTTTAACCATATCAAAAGATATTCCTCTTGTTAATGTAATTTCTAAATTATATTATACAATTGAATTTTTTATTTTTATTTTTAAATTTAAGGAATAAAAAATTTTAACACCTAATTTTAAACATTCTATAAACTATTTTAAAATATTATTTTTTATTAATTAATAAAAAAATAAAAAAATAAAATAAATTAAATAATAATATAAAATTTTAAAAATAGATCATTGAAGGAATATTTAAAAAAATAGTTTATTACAATATCATAACCCTAAATTTAATTATTAAAATATTTTATTAAAATCTTAAAATTTTCTTTTTATTAAAACTCTTACTTTTTATTAAATAATTAAAATTGACTTATTTACAAAATTTTGGTGTGCGATTATCAAATAAATTCTTATATTTTAATCATCAAATATTTTTAAGAATTTTTTTCTATTAATTTTAAAATTGAAGATTATATTAATTATTTGTTATCTAATTGTTAATTTATTTGTATTATATTTACTATAAAATAATAAATAAAAAAGTATGTTTTAAATAAAATAAAAAGAGAAAAAAATAAGAATTTTATACCTAAAAAAAAAAAGATGACTTTTCTTAAAAAATATATATATATATATATATATATATATATATATTATATTAAATAATAGTAACTACTTCCATCCAAATGAATATGTAAATAAGTTGAAAATTTCTTGTCATTATTATTAATTAGATGCTTAACACTATAACTTCAAAAAATACATTATAATTCATATTGAACAATCAATATTTGAATTTGATGAAAATAAAACAAATTGGATATTAACAAAATAAATAATTTTTGTCTAAGTCATTAGATAACTAATGAAACATGATCTCAACTAAGAAATTGACATTATTTTTAAATCAAAAAGATATTGTATTACTTTTTTTTCCTTACCTGTTGTTCAAATTTTTTTTATTTAATTTTTTTTATTTAATGTAGAACTTAAAATCACTTTATTACCCAATATATTTGGTTTGATTAAATTGTTTCATAGATCACAAAATATTGAGTATTAAACAATTGTTAGTAAGATTAAATTCATTTCATAAACTATGCATAATATAAGGATATTATATTGAGTGCTATAATAAAATAGTAAAAAAAGTAAAAGAAGAAATCAAAATTGTTTTAGAAACTTAAACTAAAATAAATATAATTAAATATTTTATTCAAGTACTTAGAGTATAAGGACTAACTTATTAAGTATTCTGTTTGAAAAAATTATTGGATAAAAAATAATTATATATTTTTAACGAGACTTTAAGCTTGTATCTTCTTACTTCATTTAGTCTTTGAGTAAATGTAGTTACGAAGATTGAAAAATTAGTTATTTTATTGAGTAATATTAAAATTTTCTAAATCATATATAAGATATATTTTTTCTCTTTGGTGAACATTAAGGACAATATTTAAAAAGTTAAATAAATTATTGAAAATAACATACTTTAATTTATAACAAAAAATATTCGTATTTAGTTTTTTATCATTTGTAAGGATATTAATTATTTTTTTATTATTAATATTAAATTTAATATATTTATTTATCATTTAAATATTATGCATAATATTAATAAAATTAATTATTATATTCAAATTATTATTCGATTCATGTTTAAGTTTTGTTATTATCGATTTTTTTTAATGAAGAGGTAATTTTTTTTCAAATATCAAAATGGTGTAAATTTTTAAAAAATATATCAACCACGACTCTGCACACGAAGAAGTTATCCTTTTTAATATAATTTTTTTCTTGAAAACAAAAAAGAGAGGAAGAAGTCGTGTTAAGTAGGATGAGTTCTATATAAATGTATATAAAATTCATAATATATAATACAAATTCTAATCTTATATTATAATAATTATTTTAATATTATTATAATTATTATTAATAATAAACATATTATTAATATTAAAATTATAATAATAATAATAATTTAATATATAATTGATAATTGTGTTATAAAATATGATTTCTTAGAGTAAAATTTGTTAAAATTAATTTATTTTATTATGTGACTTATATGAAATATAATGATGGACCAAAATGTGATTTAATAAAATATAATGACCTATTAATTATTATGGAAAATCATAATAAAATAAGATAAAATAAAATAAAAACTTACGATAACTAACTTGATAGACATTGGTTAATAAAAGGTTTTGTCTCTGATTATAAGGTTCTTATCACAATAAACCATCGGAAAAGTGTGACAGGAGAAAGAAAGACAAATAGATAGATTTGAAAAAAGAGGTTGGAGAATAAAGATATTGAAGAACACATTCTCATTGAATATCTCTCATAGATCAATGTTAGTCTTCTTATTATTGATTTATTTTATTATGTGAGAATCATGGATTTAAAGATTCTGTAAAGTAGTTTTCTAGAATGAACGGGGAACGTAAGAAAATTACGTAATGATTTACATGAAATTACGTAATGATTTACATGTGGTGTCAGAGTCATTGTTATTAGATTTATGATTATTCTCTTAAGATAGTTTTTCTCAAATTAAGATAAACCCTAATTATGAATTTATGGATTTTTCTATCAAATTAGCATTAACCCTAATTTATCTCCAAATTTGTTTAGGAACCTAATTATAAATTTTAGAGATTTTACATTTTCCGTTGCGTATGATAAATTTATGAATTGATTATATGGTTTTTCCGCTATGCGTGGTCACTGCATTGGTTATGTGTTCAAATCCAATTTAATTGTCAAGGGAATGCATTGAAATGTTTTCCCTATCACGTGAATGAATTTGTGATTGAAATTATTGGAATGATGTTATTCGATTCAATTGAGTGTTTTGATTGCAACATTGCACATGTTCGATTATGGGTATTGGAAAATAAAGCACGTGATATGTAAGTTTGATATCCTAATGAATCATAATATTAATTGACTTAGGTTATTTTAAAGATTTTATGCATAATGGTATTTGCGGAAAGTGAACGGTGATGATGTTATTTGTTTATTTATTCATTTAATTTTTATCCGTTATATCTCATTATAGTTTTCTCCCCAAAGTGCATATGTTTAGAAAGTTAAATTCAAGTGTAATGATGTTATTTGTTTACGTCATCAATAGAATTAATGTTGATATTTTATTATATAAATAATGTATTTTTAATTTGCAATAATTGCATGTTATAGATAGTTTGTAATTGGAATTAAATGAATAGTTGTCACTGTTACGGGATGTGTATAAATGCCTCAATTACAAATTTTGTTTTGCAAATTGAATTGAATTGATTTCGCTCTGTATAAGTTGTGCATAAAATTTTTAAATTAATGACAATTTCAGTTTTTACGTGAATGCAAATAAAGGTCTTGGATTGAAAAATCAATCCTATAATATAAATTGAAATTATGGGTTTCAATTTTATTTAGGCACATAATATTTTATTATGTGAATAATGTACATATTTATTAAAATTAATAAAAATGTTATAAATGATTATATCGATTAAAGATATTATTTATTTGAAATTAAGCATGATAAATTTTGTTAGTCACCAAAGTAGCCAAAATTTTAAGGTTATTTGATTTCAAATTATTAATGATTTTATTTCAATTACCCACAAGTATGAAAGCTAAAATTATGAATAATTGATTATGGCTTAATTGAAGTTTATT